GAGCTGAGAGTGAGAGGGTGTGCTGCTGGAGGACTGAGGAGCACAAGTGTTATCAGACACCAGGAGGAAGGTCCTGTGGTGAGAATAAGGAAGGTGTTTGGAGGAGGCCATGGGGAAGTAGCCCAGGGAGTTGTAGCTGTCATGCAGCTGTTACAGGAGGCACTATAGACAGCTGCAGTCCACAGGGCCCTGGGCTGGAACCCGGAGTAGAGGGGAGGCCCGGGTTCCCCCCAAACCTCCCAATTGACCTGGACTGTGGGTTCTTCCAGAGGGGAAGGTCTCTGGGCTGTTCCCCAACCCACATGGTGAATCTCTGAGGCAAGAAAATCTGCCAATAAGCGCAGGACCCACCAAGATAGAGGAGGAACTTTGTCACTATATAATATAATATATATATAAGAGAGAGCCTCTATGCATACTCTGGTATATTATTGTATTATTTAGCAACATTTAAAACATAGGGTGGAAAACTCCCAACTATATCTTTGAAAACTGCATTAAAGTTTACAATTGTGGTGAGTCTGATTATACTCTGCAGCATGTAAACATGAGATGCATGCTTGCACACAGATTGTTTCATCTTGATTGAGTTAGAAAAGATGTAGGTAGCTAAAATATCTGTGACAGTTATATTTATATAACTGATGTATGGGAAGTAGAAGAACATGTGTTGGCTAATATTGATTGACTTACTCTTTCTTCTTTGGGTGGAATAATTCTTTGCTGGATTTCTGAGAGACTTCCTATTCTGTGCAGTTTTGTGGTTTTAAAACATGTATATTTAAAGATACACATATGTTACTTAGGTATGAGAAAGACAGATAATATAGAATGGCAAAACTTAAAAAAAAAAAGTGGAGATAAACTGAAGTGGCTGAAGCCAGCTCAGGAAGTGAATAAGTGACAATCAGCATAAGTTCACAATAATAATGTATTGCAAAAAGAGCCACATTAACAACCCGAACATTTAACTGGACTTCAATCTTTATTGCTACCACAATTCCCTCTTCTTCAAGTGTTTTGTTCTTCTTCATTTACTTCTCAAGGAAAGTTGCTAATTATTTAGACAGTTTGCTTGAAGATGGGATGTCATAGCTCCTTAAGGAAGTGTAGCAAATTCTGAAGTGCTTTAACAAAAGATGAAGTTTTTACAGCCTTCTGTTTTTTTGCTGCCAGTGTTATTTCTTCGAAGTGGCAGCTATGGGGTAATGTGAAAGACCCTGGACCTCTGCACAAGAAAGTAACATATGTTGAAAATTCTTAAAATGGAGTGTGTCGATTTTTTGTCTTCTCCCCCAAATGGAACCATCAATAGGTTCTGACATATCACGAGAAAACTGTCTCAAAGACGCTATACTGCTACTTGCTTATTGCCTGCAGTGTAACTTGGACGTGGAGCCAAGGGATGATGTTATGATAAACACTAATAAGCACAAGTGGGATAAGTCTCTCTTGTTGAAAAATTGGCTGCTTCTGCTGCAAGTCCAGAACCGGCAGGAAAATCCTGGTGTTTTGGTAGGTGCATTAATATCTACAGATACTTTTTAGGAAGAGTAGGTTTTAAGAAAGTTGTAGAAATGAAACTGGGGCTTTAAGATTACTGATGCACAATCTGTGTGTGTCATAACTGCTGGTACTGAATATACTATATGTATTTTTTTTTTTTTCCAAATCAGTACACAGAAGATGAAGCTAGGAAAATGGGAGTAGTTGGCTGGGTTAAAAATACCAGACAAGGGACTGTTACTGGCCGAGTTCAGGGCCCAGAAGATAAAGTAAATGCAATGTAAGTACTTTCGTGTCAATGTGTGTTAGCCTCATTAACCTGTCCAATTTGTTAAAATGATTCTGAAGAGAATGTAAAATTAGATTTAGATATCAGTGACTTACTGTAAAAAAAAAAATAATAAATCAAGGTTGTTAGAAACATGCCATCTTGACTCCTGAGCAATAGTTAGCCTTCTGGTGTATGGGAGAACTGGGAAGAGGAGCAAAAAGGCATATTAAAAAATATGAAAACAAAAAAGAGACTCTGAAGTGGAAAAAACACAAAATTAGGAGGAAAACAGAAGAGACAATAGGATTACAAAGAAGGACATGGACAATATAAAGAAAAGACCACCAATTGTGCCAGGACATAGGATAAGGGAAAATGGTGTGGTGATGGGGAGGAATGTGTCTGCCTACCTGTCCACTGTAAGTAGGGGCTTCCCCTCCAACAACAACAACAACAACAAAAAAGATTTGGAACCACTGCTGCAATGTAATAGTATTTTCCATTGGTCTTCTGTGAGCTAATACCCTAAATGATAAAATTTTTACCAAGATGTCTGCCTCCAGCACTAAGCTCTGAGATACTATTTTAAATTTAAAACTTAAAAAAAAAAATAATTAAAACTGTTTGTTCTTGGTGACAAGTGCTAATCCTGTCAGCTTTCATACTGCTTGTCTGAGTAAAATAGACTGACTTTTCCTCTGATTCTTAAATCATAAATTATTATTAACAGAGTAGTAGATTGTATACTGAGATTAGGCAAACTTTTCTGACCTGTTTTTCAAGGGCTCTAGTGCCTCTGTAAGTTGTAGCAGAAAGAATAGTCCTCGTGTCAGAGACTTGCCTTTTGTTGTCCACATGGAAATCCATTCAGATCTGGTTGAATTATAAAATGTCAAATTTGCCATTTGCAATCTATATTATGCTCAGTAGAGGTTGCTGCTAAAACTTTTCAAGATACCACGTTCTGGGCATGCTCCCCAGTGTCTCTTTTTAGCATGGCACATATGTATCTCCAGATGGGAACCAGACAACATAGATCCTCCTCCTTGTCCCACTTGCCCTATCAAAATACACATTGGGCTAGGGGCATTCGCACCAGACTAGAATCAATGAGGCCTTACACTCATGTTTTCTAACGGCTGTTGGTAATTCAGTTCCTTTCACAATATTCGTTACTGAGCGAGGCCTCATACCACCCTGAGAAGCAACAGAAGCTGGAAATAGAATATGGCAGACAAAAGTCTTATTTCATTAGCCACACTGCCTCTTTTTAAGAACCTCCCAAATCTGTGTCTGATTATGCTGTAGGTAAAATGAGGCTACTCATGCATATGTAATCATTGTTTCAGTATGTTGTGCATTCCCTAATAGGTGGTCCACAAATGATTACAGCCTACTCCTGCTGTCCATTATTGGAGTTACTCTTTTCACTGTAGTGAGTGCCAACTGTGCTGCAGTGCAGGAGGTCCAGAGTTCAAATCCTGATGATGATGCATTGGGGGTGGATGAGTTACAGTTGCACATAATAGAATTTGCTTACCTCACAAAGTTAAGTGACATATTATATTTTGGTATTGCAATAGTGCTTACTGCCCTCTACTGCAATTGGGTTCCTATTGTGAGGGGCACTCCACAAAAACATAGTAAGAGAGATTCCCTATGCAGAAGAGTTTACAATCAAAATAAGACAGATGAAGTAACTTGCCTAAGGTCATATAGCAGATAAGTGACAAAATCCAGATCTTCTGAGTCCCGCACCCTATCCCCTGGGCCATACTAACATCGCTACAGTTTTGTGGGGTTTCGGAGTGTTTTCACTTGTCAAATGTGAGACGTGACAGATGATACTGGTGTTGAGTTTAGTGATGGAAGACAAACCAAAAGAAGTCGGAGGTAGGGGTGTGTGTGTGTGTGTGTGAGAGAGAGAGAGAGAGAGAGAGAGAGATGGCAGTTGCTTGGTATAAAGGAAAAGGGAAGTTGTGTTAGGCAAGGACAATGACTTAACAATAGGCACAGTCATGAATGGGAGAAAAAAGACTGAAGGGGGTGTTCAGAAATTGATGTTCATTATTGATGTTCAAAATTTTCTCAGACTGTTCTGGCATTTAAAACTAAACTGAGGAACACATGTTTGCTGCAGCTCAATAGAAATGACTCTCTGTTGCTCTCAACCCTTGTGTGGCAAGGTGACGTCTCGCCGGTGCAGCGCCTCCTGCTGGTTGTCTCGGGAATTAGCTCTCCAGCATCCAGAGTGCCCTCTGCAGGCGGGTGTCCCTCCCGGACCTTGGTGCCCCTCTACGTCAGGGTTCTGCCCCTGGCAGTAATCCACAATCTGGGTCTCCCCACCCTGGGGAACCCCCCCATCCTCTATCCTCACCTTGCCTCAGTGGCTACTGCCAGTCACCATCTAGCCCCCACTCCCTGGGGCAGACTGCAGTCTATAAACCACTCATTGTCGGCAAGGGGGTTTGGACCAGCTGCCTCTCCCTATTCCTGGGCTGCACTTCTGCAACCCTAGTATCCGCTTGTGGGCCCTTAACTTGGCCTGCAGCCTGGGGCTTTGCTAGGCTGGAGCTCCCCAGCTCCCTCTGCCCTTCCCTAGCACTGCTCCATTTCAGATACCTTCCTCAGCTTCCCAGGCAGCCAGGTCCTTCTCTCTCAGTAGTGAGAGAGAGAGTGTGTCTGTCTTAGCCTCTGGCCCTCAGCCCTCTTATAGAGCCAGCTGTGGCCTGATTGGGGCATGGCTGCTTCCCCCAATCACCCTGGCTTTTCCCAGCTGCAGCCCTCTCCCAGGGCTGTTTTATGCCCTTCAGGGCAGCAGCGGGGTAACCACCCCGCTACACCCTGCTTTAGGCAAGACCTAAAGGAACAGGTTTTTAAAAAGAAAGATAGTTTCTGTGGCAAAAAAACTGTCACTTCTGTCACGTTCCTTTTAATTCAGACACACCCTTGCTTCTCAAACAAGATTACCTTCCCCAAAGAGAAGCAGGTGATAACTCTCAAATTGGAAGATAAGGAAACTGGGCAAAGTGACTCCAAAAAGTGTTTGCTAGCTTATTGCAGAGTACTACCTACTGTAGATGTGTTTCATAGGAAACAATCAGGTGGGTGGCAAGCTTCTTATTTTCCAGATGTGTGTGACAATATGCCACAAAATATTGCTAGTCCATCGCATATTTTGGATAGGCAATTTCCATTCCAATGTTTTAACTCATACTTGCTATTGTGAAACATTTAAAAGAAAACCTACCTATTTTGCTCATTCCAGAAATGTGAAGTTCTTAAAGATTAAGCCAAATTATTTGTCATAGTTATTACTTAATTTATTCCACTTTCAGAGGCTTTCCTAACACACACAGTTAACATCTACAGTTTATATCTGTCCCTTTATGCAAGGCAGTGTCATGCCAGTGGAGTTGAAATTTTGTGTGGAAACTGCTATAATACACTTAACAACAAATGATATAATGCAGCTCTCATGGTATCATATGAGCTTCCGAGGTTTAGCTTATTACAGTAACTGTAGCTTGTTTTAGTTATGAGGCATTACAAAAGTCTAATAGCAGTATATGATTGTACATACTTTATTTGCTGTAGCACCAAATCACCATAGGCAACGTTGAAGACATAGAGCTTGCCTATAAACAAAAGTTGTACCACATAGAGGGGGAATAAGCTATACCAAAGTAAGTCACCTTTATGTCGTTAAAGCTGCATCCACACTAGAGATTTTACTGGTATAATTTCAGTAAAACAAACACCCCCACACACACCCACCCCCAAAATAGCTATGGTTGAAAAACTGTGTGTAGGCCTGGCCATAGCTTCATACTTAATCCTACAGAAGCACAGACATTTCAAATTTAGATTTTATGTGCATTTCATTATTAGTATTTTTTAATGGCAGGAGTAGGGCCGCCCAGAGGAGGGGGGCAATTGAGGCAATTTGCCCCAGGCCCCACAGGGGCCCTCACGAGGATATAGTATTCTATAGTATTGCACCTTTTTTTTTTTTTTTTTTTTTTTTAATTGAAGGGGCCGGGCCCCTGAAATTGCTTTGCCCCAGGCCTCCTGAATCCTCTGGGCGGCCCTGGGCAGGAGTATCACAACCTAAAAAGTAGATACTTCTATAAATCATGGACTGTTGTGGAACCATTTTAGTAGATTGTGATTGTGTACTTTAGGAAATATTTTGCATGGTTTTATGACACTGTAGCGTATAACAACCATTGTTTCATTGGAAAGATTTGTGTAAAGATTTGTGTAAGAAAGTACTCTGGGTTGGGTGCATTATAGTGTAATGTTACTTATTAGGTAATTAGTAAATAAGTAACTATACTGTATATATGCAGTAGTAGTTTTATCTGGTACTTATATTTTTAATTAATTGATTTAAATTAGGAGTATGTGGTGTAAGTAAATTTTTTATTTTTATATATATATATATATACACACACGCGCACACACACAAATATTACATAGCCATATTGGATTTTGTATTTAACTCACAGATGTATACAAGGTACTTTGCCCTTTAGTTGCTTTTTAAACCACTTGACCTTGACCTTATTTTCCTTTGATTAAATATCCAAATCACTAGTCGATGTTATGGAATAACAAGGTTACATTTCTTGTTTTATCTTGGATATTTTTGAGATACAAAGATAAAAACACTTTTTATTTGGTAAGCTGGTAGTTGTGGAGGTGTGTTCACTTCCTATAATTTAAAACCTTTGTACTTTTCCTAAACTTTTAAAAATAGCGTAGAGGCTCAGCCTATATCAATTTTTAGCCTAAAGCAATTGGTTAAATTTTTTATATGTTCTTGAAGAATCATGATATTTTAAAAATGGAACATTAGCAAACCCTTATCTGTTATAAATGTATTTTTTAATTCTTGTGAAATAGTTCTGTGAAGAAATAGGCGGAGGAACTTTCTAGGTTGCTTTTTGAACTCATATTTTTTAAAAATGGTTTTCATACAATATGTATGATAAGAAATCAAAACA